AGCCTGAATCTTCATATAATGTGTTTTTTTACCCAGTAGGTTTGGTGAAAACTCTTGCTGATCTCTCTCTCTCTCTCTCTCTCTCTCTCTCTCTCTCTCTCTCTCTCTCTCTCTCTCTCTCTCTCTCCCTCTCTCTCTCTCTCTCTCTCTCTCTCTCTCTCTCTCTCTCTCTCTCTCTCTCTCTCTCTCTCTCTCTCTCTCTCTCTCTCTCTCTCCTAAGCTTAGTGAGGGCAGTTGTGATTTTTATGAAGCTATTGTTGTTCCCTGAACCTATTTACCTGGATGCTTTTTGGTCGAAGTGGTTTATGGTTCCTGTATTATGTCCCCAAAATCAATGTACATCTTTTTTTTTTTTTTCTGGCTGGCATCAGATAAGAATAGTTTTTTAAAAATGTATTTCATCTCTAGGCTGTTCCCATATATTGAAAAGAAAAGTTGTGAGGAATAAATCATTCCTATGAATTTAGGAAGAAGTGACTCAAACCTTATTTTGATTCCCTCCAAAACTTTAAGCTTTTTATTAAAAAAAAAAAAAAAAAAAAAAAAAAAAAAAAAGGTGCCCTAGCCGGTTTGGCTCAGTGGATAGAGTGTCGTGTCGGCCCATGAACTCAAGGGTCCCAGGTTTGATTCTGGGCACATCCCCAGTTGGGGGTGTGCAGGAGGCAGCTGATTGATGTTTCTCTCTCGTCGATTTTTCTAACTCTCTAGCCTTCTCCCTTCCTCTCTGTAAAAAATCAATAAAATATATATATTTTTAAAAAGGGTAAAGTACCCTGCAGAATAGGCACTTGTAAACTAGCATTTCTAAAACTATGCTCTGTGGGATAATAGACTTCCAGAACATCATAATAAATGTTCTTCAAAAAGAAAACAAAACATTTTCATGGTCAAATATGCTTGGGAAATGCTAACTACTACATTATTTCTCTCTTGGAGATTCAGTGTTCATTAGCACATTAAGGACTCTGAGGAGGGCTTGGAATATAGAAACATTTTTAACTTTGCTTTAACCAGAATGCAGACACTGTTAATTGTTCACCCAACAACCATGCTCCCCCTTTTCTTGCCAATAGAACCTTGATTTTGTGTAGGCAGGAATATTACAGCTGGGAACATTGGTCCAAGACAATTCCCATTGCCAACAATTAGTTCAGGGATGGGTTTCTGACTCAGCTTCAGTCAATAAGATACAGGAAGAATTCTGTGCAGGCATCTGGGGGAAACAGTCTTACATAAATAGAGAAAAATTAAGTAAAACCACTTTTTCTCCAGCTCTTTCTCTTTTTCCCTGGGACACTGTTGTATAGGGATGTGATGTATGGAATCGTAGCAGATAGCTTGATGAACATGAAATAATGGACTAATGCTGAGCATATGGCTGGCTGAAATGATAGAAAATGCCTACTTCTTAATGATAACATCGAACCACCTAACCAGCTCAATAAATGTCCTTGTGAATTAACCCAAGTATATTTCTAATTGTAGACGACAGCAATGCCATTGCTCAGATTTATTTGGCAATGGAATCCCTTCATGTGGGAAAGCTGTTGGCATGGTGTGTCCTAGAGCATAGGATTGTTATAATAGCAACTTCACTCGAGTGACCTCTACTCTCAACCCAGTTGGAACATTAGCCCTGGCTCTGAGAGTGACTGCAATGGGGACATTGACCTTCAGGCAAAACCAGGACCACGTGGTTAGCAAAGAGCAGACTCTTAATTTAAATGATTCAGCTCTGTTTTAGGATGCCTTTTTCCCACGAGCAGCTCTAGCCAGTTTGGCAGAAATATTTCAAATTGAGACTATAGGTAGCGTGTGTAAGTTTCATACAGTCATAATCTCTTAGGGAAGGGTTTTACCAATCTAGCATCACGTCTCCATTACATACTTGAGTAAACTGAGGCAGGCTCAGGGGGGCTAATAAATTTGCTCCTTCCCAAAGTTGATTAGCTACACAACTAGAATCCTCTGCAGTCATTCTGAGGGCCCCTGGAGATACGAAGTTTTTCGTAGCCTCAAGGTGTCCAGGATTAGTGAAGGCTTCCTCAGGATGAGATCACGATGGCATTAGCTTCTGAGTTAACAGCTAGTCTAGGTTTCTGTCTGAGCAGGTGAGGAAAAAGTGGTTCACAAGATTTCCTTGTCTAGATTGTATATGTCTATGTTGTTTTGTGCTTTACATTTTATCTTTTATTCAGTACCTTTTCAAAACTGCACAAGTAACCACATGTATGAAACTTTGCAAAGAAATATGAAAAGGGAGTTAATAATTTCTACCTCCCCCTTTGCATTGCATTTTTTCTTTTCTTAGGTAATCATTAACAATTTACTAAGCATTCTTTCATACATGATCATACATACTTGTAGGTAGGGTTTACTTTTGCTCTCCTTTTTTTATAATTCCTTAGAAAGAAAAATCACAGTATCCACATTTTTTAGTTTTTTGCTTTTACCTATTACTAAAATATCATAAGAATATGTGTGGTTTAATTAAAGTAGACATAATCCATTTTTATTAATAGTTGCATCATATTACATTGTATTGCCATAATACATTTTATTTTACCGTTTGTCAATTTATGGACATTAATCTTGTTTCTAGTTATTCTGTATGGAATATACACACACAAATTTAGATACAATAATATATATTATTGTATAAACATATATATGTGTATGTGTGTATATAGCAGTGATTATTTTTTCCCTTGGTAGATCAGCATCACTAAAATAATTGGCTCCATCAGAAGATATGATTATTATTAATTTTAAAAGGTTTTTAGCAGCTTTCTGTCACATTTTCACTAGTTTTAGGTCTTGTCTTTCTTAAATTTTATTTATATTACATCACATGAGCAACATGGTTCAGTATTGTTTTAATTTGCACTTCTTTGATTATCAGTGATCTTGAGCATATTTTCTGATGTTTACTAACCATTGGAGTTGGTTTTTGCAGAAGTTAAGAGTGTGCTGAAGGTTCAAAACATTACAGTTACATAACATCTCCTGAAAAAAATACTCAAGGAAATAAGTATGTAAAACGTGTGTGTGTGTGTGTGTGTGTGTGTGTGTGTATTCACAATATTATTGTTCAAAATAAATTATCTGTATTATCTAGCTAATAATGATAGAATTTCATAAGATTTTAGATCATTTAAAGAAGATATAACTATTTGCTAAACACCAATATTTAACCTTATATGAAGAACTATATAAGCAAGTTTGGGGAAAAAAGAACTGAGTCCATATTCACATTTTATAAAAACCTTTATATTGTAGAAAATGAACATAATACTAATAACCACCCTCATGTTTACAGTTTCTATACTTAATAATTTGTTAATGTCTGATTAAAATTTTTTTTACAACAGCATTTTGAGATGAGACAAGTAGATTGTGTTATTTCAGTTCTATAGGTACGGGAATTGAGGCCTGGAAGAGCATTTTTTGTTGTCCTTAAATATTAATTGAATATGTGTCATTTAGTGACAGGATCACATTTCATATGGCTGTACCATAACTCCTTATGACTGACTGGACCATAGTTTTCAAAGCCAGTCCTAGTTCTTGAATGTGATGCCCCTTCCTTGCTTCTTTCCTTCCTTTCTTTCCCTTTTATTTTTCTCTCTTTGCTATTACATATAAAATCACAATAAATACCCTAGCAAGTACATTTTTATCAGCACCCCTAATCACCTCCTTACATTTGACACCCAAATTTGAAATACTGAGTTAAGTGTTACAAACTTTTCAAGGCTCATGACCAAATCACTAGTTTTCAAGGCCAACCATTTTAGAAGCTTTCTCTTTTTATAGACAACTAGAGGCCCAGCTCAGGATTAAGTCATGGGTGTGTAGGGCCTAGTCCATCAGGGCCATGTCCACCACCTAGTGTTACCTCTTACGCTCCTGGAAGGACGCTGCTGGTGCCCCATGACACTCTGCCTATGCTGCCAGGACCTGGGGGTGGGAGGTGGGGGCTTGGGGGTGGGGGGATGAGGGGAAGGGCCTGTGAGGTGCTCCATTCACCTCCTGGTGAGTGGTCATTTGGTTGTTCCGGTGTTCCGGCCACAAGCCTTTTATTTATTTATATTTTTCTTAAATATATTTTATTGATTTTCCACATAGAGGAAGGGAGAGAGATAGTTAGAAACATCAATGAGAGAGAATCATCGATCAGCTGCCTCCTGCACACCCACTACTGGGGATGTGCCCACAACCAATGTACGTGCCCTTGACTGGAATCAAACCTGGGATCTTTCAGTCCACAGGCTGATGCTCTATCCACTGAGCCAAACCAGTTTCGGCCACAGGCCTTTATAATATAGATAATCAATCCCGGGGAAGGGGTATCAGTGTTAATTTACTTTATATTCTCAATGTCATTTCAGTCTTTTCTCCATCGGATTCCCTATCTCCTGTATCTGTGTCTTTTGCTTGTGGTGTGATAATTCTCTTCTCCTTGACATTCAAAATGACTTCAGAGACAGTTCACCAATGGCTATAACCTGTTACTTGAATAAGAGTAAGTTATCCTTCCCTCTGTCCTGCCTTGGTCAAGATGACACTCAGCTTCCTCGATCTTGAATGAAATTACAAGCAGGACTATACACCAAAAACTCTTTCTCCCCAAGCCAGCTAGGTAATTTAAGTACCTATGCTAAATACCCACCTAGAATGTGAATGAGAGCTCCACCTGCTCAGAGATACAGCCAGTCTACCTTGTGTGGATTTCATAATGGGGTGAAAATCTGATGCTAATATGTGAGATAGACATCATCTCATCCAAAAAGATGTCTTTTTTCTCAGGCCCCAGGAGATTGCAATAGGTTCAGGAGTACCTGCCAAATCCATACCTTTGCCTATACCTCCATCCTTACTTATTTCTAAGCCTATTTCTAAGCCTTGTCTCTCATCCAGAAATAACCATTTTGTCATGTCAGTCATGTTCATGGACTTTTTAGATTTCAGATTATAAATATTATTGTTTTTTTTTTTAGGTACCTGGTAGAAGAAATCAAGAAAAGAGAAGGATTCAAGTTGCTGATAGAAGTAAGTATGGAACTGTGCCTATGATTTTGTCTCTCAGCAGTGATGAAGGTAGTAATTTTCCAATCTATTATATTTCATTGGTTTTTGTGTTGCAGACTTAGAAACAAGTCATTAGCTTAATTCAGAGAGTCCATTATGTTAATTTACTCTATTAGTGAGTGTTTTTCCTTTGTTGGATTCAGAGAACACACTTGCCTTTACATATTGAAAATTAAAGTGCTCAATAATAATTACCAAGGATAATACTGAATAAATTATGTCCTCTGTCCTGATATATAAATTGCATAATGATTGTACTGCAAATATTCAACTGTACTATAGTGGTGGCTGCATGTGAAAAATCAATTAAGTGAATGTACAATAATGCTTATAGATTTCTCTTTTCATAAAATAATGAGAGCATATTAGCTTTGGAGCAAAAAGAAAATAAGTCATTTTGTTGTTGGATTCTTTGCTAAATATAAGAAGTAGGTGGTTACAAAGATAGAGAATATTTCCCCCCATAAATTTATGATTAGAAAATATGAAGAATATTATTTAATTCTGATTTTTAAAAAAATATAAAGTGTGAGGTTGTTTTAGATCTTCTTATAAGTAGTATATGCTCAATAGCAATTTTTAAATATATTTTTATTGATTTCAGAGAGTAAGGGAGAAGGATAGAGAGAGATAGAAACATCAATAATGAGAGAAAACCATTAATCATTTGCCTCCTGTATGTTCCCCTCTGGGGATCCAGCCCACAAACCAGGCATGTGCCCTGACCAGGAATACAACTGTGATCTCCTAATTGATAGGTCAATGCTCAACCACTGAGCAACACCAGCCAGGCTCAATAGCAATTTTAACCTAATATAAAATTTTCTTTTTTCATAAAACAATGAGAGCATATTAGCTTTGGAGCAATGGGAAAATAAATCATCTAGATATTGCAGTCAGGAACCTATTTGTATATAAGCATTCTAGCTATTTTTTAATATTTATTTAGCAAGATTTATTGAACAATTTCTGTGTGCCAGGCCCAGTTCTAGGCACTGGAGGTATAATACAGGGAAGTTTCCTGCTCTCGTGGTTCTTATAGTCAAATGAAAAGTGATAGGCAGCCAAAACCAGTTTGGTTCAATGGATAGAGCATCGGCCTATGAACTGAAAGGTCCCAGGTTCGATTCCGGTCAAGGGCATGTACTTTGGTTGCAGGCACATCCCGAGTAGGGAATGTGCAGGAGGCGGCTGATCGATGTTTCTAACTCTCTCTCTCTCCCTTCCTCTCTGTAAAAAAATCAATAAATATATTTTAAAAAAAGAAAATAGGCAATAAATAAGCCAATTAATACATAGAAAGTACCAGATAGTGAGAAATCTTAGGAAAACAAATTAATTCATCTATGTATATAAAAGCCTAAACCACTGAGTGACCAATCGATTGGTCACTATGATGTGTATTGATCACCAGAGGACAGATGCTCAACGGATTGGGCTCCCTCCTATTTAGATGGGGCCTGTGGGGATCAGGCCAAAACTGGCTCTCCAACATCTCTTGAGGAGTCCCAGATTGCGAGAAGGCGCAGGCCAGACCAAGGGACACCATCAGTGCAAGAATGCGTGCACCAGGCCTCTAGTAAGAGATAATCTAGTACACAACTAAATAATTATACAGTTACAGATGTAATAAGTGAAAAGTTAAACTTGATAATGTGCAGCAGGCTAAATAGGCATCTCAGATGGTGATTAAAGAAAAATTGAATTTATTTAAGGAAAAGGGGTTGGGGGATGGGGATATCCAAAGAAAAAGGCTACACAGTACTGAACCAAAGGGTATTGGGGTCAAAAGGGTATGAAGATAGCAAAAATGTACTTAGGACAGTGAAACAAGAAATGTCAGAGAAGAAGCAACAGGAAAGCCTAGGCTGGCCTGCTTTGGGCTATCTTGAAAAGTCAGAGAAAAGGGCGCCTTGGAGATAGGTTTCGGGGGTTGGGGGGTTAGCCTGGGACGAGCTGCTGCTTCCCATTACTCCCCTGGTTGCAAGTCTCATGGGGTCCCTTAGAGGTTGGGGGATACTTGCCTGTGGGGGAATGTAAGTGGTGAGGGAATAGCATGAGCATGATCCTTGGAGGGAGACTTCACACTGGGACCTTTGTCCTGAGCATATTTCTCTCTTGCAAGTGGAAATCTTAGGGGAGGTGTCAGGGGAGGGTCTTAATAGAATATTCATCAGCTTTCCAGGTGTGCTCTTTCAGGATCATGGTCTCTACTGATTGGTCAGTGCCAGTGCAGGGGAATCATTAGTCAATGTAGCGGGTCCTGAGGCAGCTATTGTGTCAATTGCCTGGTTTTGCTGCTTTTCTGGGCCTGGGACTGAAATACAAGGCCTAGATGATATCTTTAGGGAGGAAAAGGTCAGGGGGTTTAAATCACCTGACCAGCGATATGAAAGATATGGGGTTCAAACTGCATGACCAGTGATATGCAAGGGGAGGATAGGTTATCCTGGGGGCGAGGTTCTTGTGTTCCCAGTTTTGCCCCTTTGCTAGGCACCCAAGGCTTTTTGACCTGATGAGTTTCTGTACCAGGCAAGTTGTTCTTACTCTGCTCAGGTCTGTCTGACAATAAGTACTAAAATGGAAATAAGTAGCATGAAATGCTAAAACAAGAAGTGAGTGTGGGTGGCTTCTTAGCTTTGGGTAGTCCAGGTACGGCCCTCTGAGGTTATCTTTGAGCTGAGACCTGAATAATGGTATACAGCATGCCTTGTCTGAAGGAAAGGCATTCTATTATAGGTAGTCAATAAACAATGGCAAAGGCTTAAAGCTGAAAAGAGTTCTGTGTGTTTGAGAAGCCAAAAGGAGATATATTAAGCAAGGGGTGCAAGTTGCAGTGTTTGATGAAGTTGGAGAGGTGGGTGGAGAGATCAGTTGGAATCCGGTAGGTCATGGTAAGATCTTTGGCTTTTATTCCAAGTGTAATCAGAGAAAGTTTCAGGAGTCAGGAGCCTGACATCCATTTAAAGAGATCATGCAGAATGTCTTGGGAAGAGAGGAATAAGGAGAGGACAAGGAAGACAGGACGAGGAAAGAATAAACAAGACAAATTGGAGACAGGATGTAGTAGTCCAGGTCTTCAGACAAATTTTGGAAATCCTGCTCCAGAGAATTCTGACTGTAGCTTACACCACTATCCACAAGGGGGTTCAAATTTCCTGAAAAGTAGTGATATAGAAACTTGTAAAGATAGCAAAATAACCCATATTTAAATGACTTTCTGGTGACACTTCAAAGAATCAAGAAGATAAATTTCAAATGTAGGGCATCCTATAGGACAACTGACCTGATTTCTTTAACAAAAACATAAGGAGAACTAAGGAGAATGTGGTGTTAATCACTTTAGGTTCAAAGAGACTGAAGAAGCACAGCAACCAAATGCAAATTATGAAGTTTTTAGAATCCCAGTTCCAACAAGCCAATTGTAAAAGTACATTTTGAAACTGTTGGGGGGAATTTCTAACATGAATTGATTATTAGATACCAGGGAATTATCAATAATTTTATTAAGCATGATAATGGCATTATGATGCTGTAAGAAAATGTCTGTAAGTTTTAGAGATGTGTACTTACACATGGAGGGGTGAAACAACTGTATAATTGGCTAGACTGTGAGTTTGAGTCACTTTTTTATTTCCTAGAGTTTGAGCTGCCATCTTTATTTACTTGAAGTCTAGTTAAGTCTTTATTTTCTCGAGTTTGAATTGCCTTCTGCATTTATCTGGCTTCGGTAGCTGCAGAGCTTATGGAAAGTGCTTTATTCCTCAGAACTGCACCGTCTTTTGATAGAGCTAATAAAAGAGTCATGAGAAAAAAAGATAAACTGACTTAAAAGTTATTTATATATTTGTCCTAAAGGCTTAAAAATCACAGGAGGAACCTCTTATCATCATCTTGAGGGACCTGCAAACATTCACATCCTTGTAATGAAAGTTGAGGTGGGTTTTCATTATTAGAAAGCCTTCTGCCTTGGATATTTTATCTGTGGGAGCCAGATGGCCCCAAAGCCGTGGAGGTGGCTTTCTCAATGGTTCTCCAGAGGTCCTACTTAGAAGGATTTTCGTGTGTGATCTGCATTTGCCTCTTTTCTGTCTATTCCCATTTAGAGTAATGAAGTAAATTTAGACCTTGAGTTTTGCATAAGTGTCAAGCTGCTTAGCCTCTTTCTGTTAACAAATGCATTCATTGGATTGATTAAATATAGCCCTAATACATACTTGAGAAGAAATGCAAAGATCCATTTGGAGCATAGGTCTATGAACTATAATTCTTTCCATTTGGGAAAAGTCAAAGTCTATAATTATATATTCAATAATGGGGTATATGTCCCAAAACTCCCAGTGAGTTAATAAATTAGTTAGAGATTAACAACAATAACTAATAATAAAATAGAATAACCACAACAATATTCTGTAATAAAGGTTATGTGAATGTGGTCTCTCTCTACAAACTAGCACAGTTTTCTTTTTCTTTCACAATTTCATGGAGAGAAGATATATTCTTAGCATAGATCTTAGCAACCTTAACATACAATTTCTTTCTTTCTTTATTAAGTTGGGGAACTTTCACCTTTTTACTTCAGGGAAGCACATTACCACTTCTCTTTGGCATATCTGAATTGCCAGCATCACTACTCTTATTTTTAAGTAAAATAAGGATTACTTGAACACTATCACAGTGATATCAGAATAGTAGATCTAATAACTGAGATGGCTCCTGAATGACTAATGGGCCGATGGTGTATGTAGAATGTTGATTCACTGGACAAAGGAATGATTCCTATCCCAGGCAAGGCTAGGCATATGTGTATTGGGTGATGATTGTTATAACTAGGTTGAGTCAGATTCAAACTTTGTTTATTCTTGATGCTGTGTGCATCCTTGCCTAGAGCGAAGTGCCCTCTAGGTATACCCAACTGAGAAGAAAATTTCCCCGGAGAATGTTATCAGAAGTAAGGCAAAATGGATGTCTACTCTTGCAGAGTCTGATTTGTTATCAACATAATACACACATAATAACTCATTAAAAAAAAAAACTAGCTAAGACTTTAATTGCATTCTAAGATAAATCTTATGTTAACAATTCCCAAATTTCCTTAATCCTCAGCCTGAATATGCCAATATTTGCTTTTGGTATATTCCACCGAGCCTCCGAGAGATGGAAGAAGGACCTGAGTTCTGGGAAAAACTTAATTTGGTAAGTAATAAATAAACTATATTTTTTCTCTTGATGAAATAGAGTCAGCGCCATTCTCTATTGATCCTATAAATGCTTCTGTGCTTGCTAGAACTCCTAGAAGAACTAGAGAGGTGGCTCCTAGTGTATTAAAAACTAATGGCACCCCAGACAGTTGTAAATATTGTGTACATTTACCAAATTAACATACTTGTCAGACACACACATTCAAAATAATTGTGCTGTGTGCAAGATGGTTATGGGAATTATTAGAAGTTCTGATTCACAATACAGAAATTAGGATCTGGTAAGAGGACCCAAGATTAAAGTTACATGAGGAACAGCTTCCTCTTTCAGTTTTGCTGGTACGTGACTGCTTGCATCTTCTCACTTGTTAGAAGTCTACATCAGGGACCCTTTGTGAGATTGAGACTTTCTGTTGTTTCAACAAAGGCTCTACATTTTATGCCTGTGGGGCTTATGGGGTAAAAAAAAAGGGGGGGGGTGTCAACAAGTGTTTCAATTAACTATTGAACACAGCTGGTGCAGGCTGACAATCCAGAATGAGATGATGCGCCAGGCTCTGTGGACTTCTTGTGTTTCATCAGCACCTCCCCTAGAGTGGCCCTGCCAATTATCCTGCCTCTAAACACAGATTTCTAGGACTATGACGTTTCTTTAGGCAATTCTACTTGATCCCACTCCAGTGTTGGGTGGACATAGTGCACATTGAAGTGACCCACTGGGATTCGGGGGCCATGACACGTAGAGAGAGAGAGTTCATGACACTTGGTAACATGAAGTTAGGTAATCCTCTGTCCTTTGTGTCTTCTCTCTCAAGCACAGCTGGCTCCATGATTCTGGCTAATACAAGCTCTGACTTGCAAACCCCTCCCTAACCCTCAATGGGGAAATCAATAGTAGTTTTAACAGCTTGTATAGTCAATGGCTCTCTACTTGTCCTCTAGAAGAAAAGGAAGAACTTCCCAGTCAGGCAAGCATCAAACACTTACTGAGTGCTCACTATGCTGTGTACCAGAGATACCAATATAAAAAGACTCAGTCCCTGCCCATAGGAAATTCATGTTCATGGAGAAAAACTAGTACACCCACAATCACAAGGTAACTAGTAGGTTCTAGTAGAGATAAACCCTAAAAGCAGAGAGGAAAGACATCTATCCTGGTGTGCGATACTAGAGCTGAGTCTTGAACAATAAGTAGATGCCAGCCAGGGGACAATTGTGAAGAAGTATATTTCAGGAAGAATGACAGCATGATGACCCAGAGTTTTAAGAAAGTAGAATGTGATTCAAAGACCATGGAAGTGCAAAGGGACAGTGGCAGGAGGTGAGATCAGAGTAGCAGGCAGAGGTTGGGTCATGGGGTCGGGGTCGCCATCTTGGAATTTGTGCCAATTAGGAGGAAGAGGGAAGACCATGGTCTTTAAGCTATAGCCACCTATAACCTCACCTGCAGCATGTCCTTTTAGCTTCAGGTCATTTTCTATTTATTTATGTTTCATTAAATCTCCTGCACTGTGGCATAATACAGCACCAATATATATAAATATTCTGCCTCTTGTAAACTCGAGATCAGGCAGCAGAGATGGGGAGAGATGGATGGTGTTATCTGTGTCTCAGTCTAGAAAAGGCCTCATTACCCATTTTTAGGCAGTTAGCATAGTCATTGGGATTTGTCTTGCCTTGTTGCCATACAATGCAAATAGGAGAGTGCTAAAGAATACATTTCAGATGGTAAGTAACCCATAAAAAGAAACAAGGACTGGACAATGTGAGAATTTAATGGTGAGGTTTCTAGGAAGATTTCCCACTTTGATGGAATGCAACTGACATTTTTTTAGGTAGAGTGGGGGAATGGTTGCTTAGCGGTGAGAAGGTAATGGTTGCTATTTTTCTCACGTTTCAGTTATTAAGTAAAGCAACCAAGAATGTGATATTTGTGCTTTACTGACAGCGCTTTTGCACAGACATGGATCAGGATAACTATAGCATCTCATTATGTCTGGAGATAATTTTGGCTCATTTTTTCATGATTTAAAGAAATATTTACATAATCTATTATCAGAAAATTTGAAATTGAGGATGAATATAGAAGCTAACATCAGATAATTCAGCATATAACACACGGTTATTCTTAACTGAAAATTGAATGTAAATCAGGCCACCTTCTTCTATCCCCCAATATTTTTCAGTAATGATTTTCTTTTGGTTAATATCTAGGATTTTCTGGATATTAGAAATGCTTTTTTTGTCATTTAGAACTATGGTTTTCTTGCCCAGTCTAATATCAGACTATGTTAATTGCTACGGTTGCCTCTGATTAGTAAACATGTACCCTGCTGAAAAATTATCATTGGTTCTCAAATTCTTTGTTTCCTCTTATTCTCTCTTTGTGGGGTGTGTGCACATGAATTTGTCAAGGAAGGGAGGCATATGTATCTATTGTTGATCTATGTGGTTTTATGCTTACTGTACTATGAGAATGCAATACATGATTTATAACCTAGAGTGCACTTAAAGCACACTTGAAATTTATCTTGGGGTTTATCTTGGATGGAGAATCACAAACAAATAAATAATCTGAATAAGGCTTTGCCCCTTCGATTCAGCCTACTGTCAGGTTTAGCTGTCAGATTTCAGAATCAGTGGTGTAATAAGTCTTCCGTTTGACAGCAGAAGAAGAGAAGGATTATTTCATAATGAATCTGGCATTTCAGTGTGTGTGTGTGTGTGTGTGTGTGTGTGTGTGTGTGTGTGTGTGTGGTGTGTATGTGTGTGTGTGTTGTATGTGTCTGCATGTGCTTTCAGCTGTGTGTGCACATGCATGAGACTATTTTTTGAGAACACAATCATTCTGCAATCTGATAACAATGTGACAGTCGCTCTGTGACACCATATTCAGTCACTGGGTTCCAATGACTTCTCTCTTTAAGATGTCCTCCATAAAAATGTTCATTCTGATTCTTTCAGGTGTTGCAGTTTTCTAGGTCTTCATTAGTCCCCTGCCCAGGTTGTATTTGCCTCTTGTCTGGTCTCTGCCTCCTGCCATCTCGTATTCCCATTTATTTTCCTGCTCTCTGCACTTTCCCACCTCCAGCTTCGTCATATCACTGTCCTGCAGGAAGTCCAGAATAGCTTCCTGGTCTCTGCAGCAGCAGTTATCCACCGTAGAGACCCAATGGCCACTGTTTATAATATGTATTGTCAATGTTTCCTTTAATCTCCTAAAATGAAACCAGTAGAAACTATGACCTGCCTACATGTAATTTTGTAAAAGGCAATAGAACGCCCTGCATGTAATAAGAAGGAAAAATAAGTTAGTTTAAAATAAAGACATGTATTCCATTACATAAATGCTTTGCCATGACAATATTAGGAGGCATGAGGAAGCTATAAGGTTCTCACACATGCTCTTAGAATCACAGTAAATGTAAGAAACCAAAACAGTATGGTATTGGTGATAGAACTTTTCAAGATGGTGCATAACCCTTGGTAAAGCTCTGAAGAAAACATTTTCTTCTTGGTTTACATGGTAGCAGAAAACTTAGTATTTATGAACAATGGGCACAGATAATTTTGCATTCGTATGTAAAATAGAGTTAGGTTCCAGGCTTGGATAATTGTCATCAGGCTTTGACCTCATGCATTCCCAGTAAGATATGTGAAAGTTGTGCAAGGCATGAGACAATACTTCATTGCTGCGGATTGCTTACCTAGAAAAAGGCTATTGGGGGTTTGACCACATATTCCTAACAGTTAAAAGAATTGAAGCCCTGGCCGAGTTGTTCAGTTAGAGCATTTTCTCAATTCACCAAGGTTCCGGGTTTGATCTCAGGTAAGGGCAAATATAAGAATCAACCAATAGCCCTAGCTGGTTTGGCTCAGCAGATAGAGCATTGGCCTGTGGACTGAAGGGTCCTGAGTTCAATTTCAGTTAAGGGCATATGTCTGGGTTGTGGGCTCGATCCCCAGTGGGGGGTGTGCAGGAGGCAGCCAATCAATAATTTCCTCTCATCATTGATGTTTCTATCTCTCCCTCTTCCTTCCTCTCTGAAATCAATAAAAATATATATATTTTCAAAAGAATCAACCAATTAAAAAAATAATCAACCAATGAATGCATCAATAAGTGAAACAATAAATCGCTGTCTCTCAAATCAATAAAGTAAGAAAGTAATTGAGCATTCATCTCAATATATATTTATTGTTTTCAAATTATCTACATGCATTACTTTATAAACACAGAATATATATTTAAAAATACACAAAGTAAGTTTTTTTTTAATGATGAATTTAAAAATTGTAAACAGCTATTAAGATACGTTCTCATCTTTTCCTCTTATACCATCGGGAACAGTTTTGTTTGGAAATCATGATTATACAAGGTTTAGCCAATTAGTTTGCAAACTGTTTTCTCTCATGACTTTTTCCCAGACATAATATATAATCTCTTGTTTCTTCCCATATCGCTCTTCCTCTTCCCTTATTAAAATCCCCACACTTTCTGCACTGATTTTAAGTTCACAGGCATTGCCCATGATGGTGTATAGTGAGATGTTCAGCAGGCTTCCCCGGGCTCTCTGAAACTTTGGGGCATTGAAGTAGAGTGTCACCTAACTCTGAAGTGACTACCTAAAGTAAGCTTATGAGTTTGTTTCTTTGGATGCCTCCTGCTAGTGATCACATATAGAGGGCGAGAAAGTTGAAGATAGACTGTAAATATAAACTGGATTGTGAAAGACCCCAAGAATGTAATTGAAAATGCCATCCGGTTTTGTCTCATCATTACTCAGTGTTATAAAGCAGAAGATTTCCTCTTTTGTTGACATTTCATAAATGATGCCAACAAAATTTACATTCCTAAAAGTAATAAATATGTTTTATTTCTGCACTCATGCATGGTCATTTCTGACTTTATTTTTTATTTGCTGACCTGCGGATCTGTGGCTAATGTTAGTCATTTATAACAGGCTCCTTTCCCCTCAATAGGAGAAGAGGAAT